CAGGTAGGGAGTTTTGACATTTAGCTTACCGTACTCACTGAAAAATCTCCTTCTCTGCTTTGCTTTTTGTTTGCTTAATTTTTTTAAACCAGGTTCTTCAACTGAAGTGTCTTTGATCACTATACACCTAAAGATCGACCCAACTCAGGAATCAAAGAAATAGCACATGGAAATACAGTTCTCACATTTTTGTCTATCTCCAGGGTCCATAGGAATACCAACTGTAGGGAGATTTACCCAGAGGACTGCAGAAGACAATATATTCCAGAAGAAGCATTTTAAGAGACAAGTACACAAAGAAGTATGCAACTTCTTAGACAACAGCTCCAGAGACTGCCAACTATTATGAAACAAATCAGCTAAAGGCCTCCTCAGTTTCATGACGTATACATGACACGTAGTATACTACAAGCAGTAGGCTTCAAGTATAGGCATAGCAATATTTCATTGCACACCTGTGAAATCTAGGACTGCACTGAAGAATACATATGTAACTAATGCAAGACCGCAAGCGTTGATTTTTCTTCCCCACTTGCAATAGAATTATTGGGATACAAAGAACATTTCTCAGCCATGGCACACGCTGAAAAATGACCTCTCACCCCAATATCAGACAATCTTTTGTACACACAGCCCAAAACTACACAAAAAACCCCCCCCAGTAATTATCACATCCTGATGCTTCACTGCCCTGTCTTACCCCTTGCTTCTGACTGTTTACAATTAGAAGTTAAGTGTCTGACAGCACTCTATCATTCTGCGAGAAAACTGTTCTCCGGCGCTTTACAAAGCCTATAAATACACATGTAGCTACCACAAAAATAATTAACCTCTCTGAGCTCCAGCCTGTGCAACGGCCTTCTAATCCGCCAGTATCATATTCGCCGTTCATTGGGTACCAGCTCAGACAGTGGCTTTCATGAGCCAGGGGAGCAAAGATGTGGCGCAAGAGTTTTGAATCCCTTTTGGAGGCGATGCCCCACCACTGCCAAAAGCCCTCCTGCAGCTTTTGGAAAAACACTGCCCCTTCCTTGACTTACCCCTACCCGGGAACCCACTGCTTTCAAACCCTTCTGCTGTTTTCTGCTCATTGCCCAAAGTTATAATCTGTACAAATGGATCCTGTAACTAACTCCCTTAGCTGAAATCTCTGCCGCTGCTGGTCACCATCCCAGAGCTGTGTACAAGTCAGAATGTATTTCTTCGGCTCACGCACGGGACTCTGCCACATGCAGGTAGGTGTTCAAGGAATGCCTGCAATTTCTAGGCACTCAATCATCTATTTACTCCCACTTTTGATATCACAGATTGTCCTGCTTATCTCATCCTCACCACTTCATCAATGGCAGTAGCGACTAACGTTCCACAAATACAGAATAATGGCAAACCCTGTCTACAAAACCAGCATTAAAACTCCACTGATGTGTGGCTTGTTCACAGAGAGCGAAAAGCAGCTCAAGGAATGATGGGAGGTTGTTTTTTTCTAAATGACGCAAAAATATGAGATGGAGAAAACATATCACTGGATGGAAAATTAGGGCATTTGAGTCCCTGCTGCCAACAACTCTTGCAGAGCACTGTGTTTGCATTCCTCTCTGCGCACCAAAATGTCTCTCGGAAGCCATTAACAGGGATCCTTGCCAAGGACACACCTGGGCTTAAGCCAGCACTGTTACATGCAGTTAAGGATGCACATCTCCAGCTCAGCCATCAGGCACGTACATGCTGGAACCACACAGCAATGTCAGCAAAAAAATCTAACATAGAAACTTTCTAGCACAGGTATCACAACTCCATTAAATATGATCACAAATGGTGATGATGATCACAGAGATCATTGATTTCAGCCCTGGCCAGTAAACAAACAAAAAACTGATTAGAAGATAGAATCAGAACCTAAATAGAAAATGGCAAAAATTCTGTAAGAAGTGTCAAGCACACACTTAAAGAAACGGCATTATAAGAATGAATGGAAGGAGGAATTACTTGACTATCTCTGGGTATCAATTTGCAGTTCACCTTCAAAAAGAAAAGGCAGTCCCACTGCTATGATGATTCCTCATTTCAGGCAAAGCAACTAGAAAGAGGTAATTCTTCTTAGCAGCATGTTGAATTATGTATTTGTACATAAGCTTTAAATGTATATTTTAATTTCACCTGAGTAAATTACCAACATAAATCCTACCCTTCTCAAATATCCCTGAATTTTTAATTAACCTAATATCATCATTTCCACCAGCCAGTCAGAAATGATGAGTAACATATGATTCATATTCAGAAGTAAATGCACCTGCTTTTCAACAACATTTCTAATTACTGGTTCATTTTACCCTTTACATGATGTTGAAGCCAATTTGGGTCATACTGGTTTTAGCCAGTGACGAGTCCTTTCAGCTCACAAATAATGTATAAGGAATTGCTGTGTTGTCGGTTTGAAGGACATTTTTAAATGCACCGTGGTGAATAGAATACATTACCAAAACACATCATTTTACTTCTGATATGCATCAGTTCACCATGGGCTTCCCTCAGATAAGATTTTACCAGGAACATTTAGATCTGATTTAAAGTGATGTCCCACCATTTCACCGCCTTCGGTCTATGTCATTACGATTGAGGGAGTGCTACCGTATATTTAATGTAACTAAGTGCTTAATTCTAACATTACAGATGACAGGGGGGAAAAAACCCCAAACTCAAACATGGTTTTTGAATACTTTAGATGTCCTCTAAAAACTCTGCAGCAAACTGCAGTGAGACTACGAGGGAAGTCTTTACCGAACTGCCTCCTCTTCCCGACAGCACCACATCTTTGGGGAGTAAGCAGGTAAACAATGGGAAGCCTGCTTCAAAGGTGGTTCATCACCTTTCTACTCTGAACATTTAGTTTTTCCAGGACTTGCACCTTCAGATGGCTGAAGCTGTTCTCATGTAGATCTGATATGCGCTTAGCTGCTGAAATATGCATACGACATAAGGTATATCTGCTCAAGTTTTCAAACCCTCTAACACAACTAAAACGTGTCAACTCATATACAAAGCTTTATTCATTCTCCAACCAGTCTGCACATCAGCTTTCTCAAAGTTATCATCATTAGCTTGACTTGTAGCATACTGGTAAATCCTATACATCTTCAAAGAAAAAATAAACTTCCTTCTGCTTCAAGTCATATAGATTTTATACACAGAAGCTAGCTCCTTCTGACATCTACCTCTAAATTTCTTGATATAATGAGAGTACCATGCCTGCCATGTTTCCTTTACTTGGTGTGCTAACTCATATTTTAGATCACAACAATACAAAAGACATGAAAAACATTGAAGTCAACAATGGTTATGTCGTCCATTTATCAATTTGAAACCATCACTTCAACAATTTAAAGCCTCTGTGTTCTAGTTATGAAAGTCCCTTTACAGCTGTAAGAAAAAAGATAGTTCTAAGATTCGTGGGCAAAAGAAACCCAAGCAGTTGAGCTGAAAGCTGGCCTAAAGCCACCACCTCCCAGCGTAGGCAGGGCACCTTTGGGCAATGCAGGTACCGGTTTTGCAGTGCCATATTTTCACAAACATAGAACCCATCTCTGGTATCCTGCATCCCTCTGAATGTACTGTTCCCTCTGAATAACAGATGTTCTATAGAAAGGAATGAGCAAACTATACATTGAGGAGGATAACTAGCAGGATTAGAGGCTGAGGAGCTATGGTAGGTGGGGCTTTAGGGTAGGTGCTTCTTCTATTACTCCCCCATGTGTACAGCCGGTACTTATTGCTGAACGTCAGGAGGCTTGGGAGCTTATTTCTGTTTAAAACAAATAACCCAAAGGCTACAGACAAAAACCCCCACAGTATTCAAATTAATTCAAGCTGATATAAAAATATTAACATCCTAGTTCATTCCCAAATAATTAGAAACAATGCTGACAACTAGAAACTATGGGATTTTAGTACGCAGTGATTTGAGTACATCCATAAAAAGCTTTAGCAGTTTTCAGAATCTACTCAAAGCGGATTTGTTGACAACTGGGTTTAAACTACTTTGTATTACAGTACAACAGCCATATATTAAGCAGACACTGCTACACACAAATTATTGAACAATCTCTGGGTAACAAGTGGTTCCAGTGATTCAGCTGAACAGTTATTTCTTGGTTTTCTTTTTTTTTTCTTCCTTAAAAAAACACCCATTAGTTATAATCTCATCCATACTAGCATCATGCAGCCAATGTTAACAATCCACTTTATTTCTACTAGTAAGGTAAGTGCAAAAGGCTTATTAACAAACACACAATGCATAAAAACTCTATCATTGTGTTATTTAAGTGAAATAAAACCTCAACAAATACAGACCAAAATAAAATCCCATATCTGCTCTATAAAGAATCTAATAAGAGTCCTCCATGGAATTCTGTCAGATCCCTTCCTTCTTATTTAAGGTAGACAAAGAACCAGGTCTTTGTGAAACAAACAGAAAGGTAGGCCTATGAGGCTATCAGAAGCAAATCTTGAAATGGAAAAAATCTGAGAAAAGGCAGAATCAAATCATCACTAGTGAGATATATTTTAATAGGCTGTCATTCTGCAAATATCAGTGGCCTCAGTGACTTAGAAACAAATCAAATCTTAAGAATTCAATAAGTTTAAGTGAACAGCAAGCATCTAAATTCTGGTCTACTTTGCACAGCAGATTCAGAAAAAACAGAAGGTGACCTTGAGTTTGCACCACAGAAGATAGGTGGAGTAAATATTTTTCATTTGCCATCCGCTTTAATTAACTAAAAGTATCTACTGGAAGCAAAAGCAGATATATCCCTGATTGTTTAAAACCTTCCATATTTAATTTAAGACTAACTCTCAGTTCGGAAAAAAGCAGCTGTAAAAGAGCCATATCCTCAATGAAGAGAAAATATCAAGCAGAATGAATGAATGGAAAGTAATTATTTCTTAATTCAGCACATCATGTTTCTGATTACCAAAGAAGGTGTGTTTCAGTAAAGCTTTACCTTTCTCACAGTGACTTCCTGTGAATCCAGAAGGGCAGACGCATTTGTTAGGGGCTACGCAAGTTCCACCATATCTGCACCCCTCTTCACAGAATGCTGAAAAATAAAAGGAATACGTAGGTACTACTTAATTTTTTAAAAAATTTATTATACATTTTCAAGATACTAGGAAAAACATCTGAATTCTAAGCAATTAACAGAATTCAACATATTAAAATTCAGTCCACCTGCAAACACAAAGAGAAGTAATGCACTTAAATGACACGAGGAAAAAAACTGATTACACCGTAGGCAAACCACCTCACCAATAAAAGATTAATAACCATCTGGAAGAAGAAGAGAGGGAAAAATACAATGTACAATTTTGATGGGGCTGATCATCTTTCAATTATACCCAATATAAGTATTACAATTACAATGCTCTGGTGATCCACAGAAAACAGGCTGGTCAGGTTGGTATTAAACTACTTTGGTTCTTGCTTCTATCAAATACACTTTACTGAAATGTCTGTAACCACATAATGTTTTCCTATTTTTTAAGTGTAAAGTACATTTTGTGGAATCAAGAAATGAAATAGAGTGAGGCTCATGACTGAAAACAGAGAAGGGGTCAACCACAAAGATAATGCCTCTTGCTGAGGTGTAATTCTTGACAGAGCAATACACAAGTACTTTAGAAGTGCATTTGTCCAATAACTAGGGTTTGAAACAAATGATGGCTCTCGCGTCTTTTCTTGAGAGCACTGTGCAATGGTCCCCTCACGTACAGCAGGCTTAGCAGGATGCCCACTAACTGCACAAGAAGCACGCTTGGAGTTTAACATCATTCTTTTTCTTTCTGTTTGTTGTGTGTGTAAAGGAGGGGAACCGAGGTAAGGTGGGGAAAGGAAACAGCAAGCATCAGGACACACTCTATTTTTTACTGTTAACTCAAGTAAGACCTTTGCTAAGACTAAGAGCAGGCCCTACCCACACCACACTCCCCACAATACGCTCCCCACTCTCTCCTAGATATTTATTGAACTTCACAAGTTACTCAGTGGGTTTGACTGCACTTATGTGGGAAGTTACAATTAATATTTAAACAGCAGCTCTCTGCATCTAAGCTAATAACAGAATTGCAAAGTGTTTCCTGCAAGCTAAAATCACAGATGGAGTGTTGGCAAAGAGATGTTACAAATGCTATGAAAAGGCTTAAAGTGCTAGATAACAGAAGAAATGTTTAAGATTTATTTTCCAATGCACTAAAAAGAAAAATAAAGTGAATAAAGCACTAAGCATTAAAAAGAATCTTCTGCAATTGTTAACCACTTAGAGGCAAAAAAGCAGATCATTGTATCGCTTGACTGAATTGATAGATGGATCTGCCTTACTCTACATATATAATTTGTAGCACACCATACTGTTTTATGGAGGACAACATGGGGAGAAAAATGCTAAAGCCATTTAGAGAAGATGGTGGTAGAGCACCATAAGCGCTCCTGCGACTGATGCAAGGCAGCGGTGTGGAGAAAGCACGGTTCTTGCCCAGTAACGCTCCCTGCTCATCAATGCACACACTCCATATGGGAATCTGCTGAAATGTATCTATTTTGAAACCAGTCATTTTCTACTGTATGGGGAAAAAAAGGAGAAATATGGTTTAGGAGTAGAATTTTGTGATTTTTTTGCATATAAATATTTGTAGAAAAGTATAACTGTGCAGAAAGCTGAAAGTACTAGTATGAAATACAGCTGGCAAACATACGAAAAACACGACGAGAGTCAAGATTCCCTCCGTAGCTCTTGAAAGAATGTTTGCTCATTTCTAGTCTCAATGTTCTCAGAGAAGCTGCAAGTTAAATTCTTCATGTACATTTTTTCTGGTTTGAAATTGAGACTAAGCAGATGCTTCTGTGAAGCAGTAAGACATTTCTGCATGACATCAAAAGATCTAGTATTTGGGGCAGAGCAGATATAAAGAAATATAAAGAAGGAAAATATTGGCAAAAAAGCAAATAGTTCATGCACCATATATGCCACATTGCACTGGGAAAGAACTACACAGGGCTCTTAAAAGAAGTCATAAAGGGCATCAAAAAAAGAAAATGCTTATTGTCTATAACAATCATGCGTGTCCACTGCAAGTTGTTAGAGCTGATAAGGACAGGTAGGTAAGAGGGCTTCCGTTAGAGCTCTCACACGCTTTCTTTGCCACAATAACCGATACTACCAGCTGACTAATGTGAAATGTGTGCTTCTTACAATAAAACCTGTTCCTAGGTCTGCTCAGTAAGGCGATGTTTTCTTCTGTTCTCTTTTAAGATTACTAACAGAGAAAGACTCATGAGGAAGGGCTGGTCATGTAAAAGATTTTCCCATTAGTGCAAAAAACTGTGTTATGTCAGTGCAGCAGCCAGGTCTTGACATCTACAGGCACAGAGCCAAGCATGCTATGCACACCTGGGAGAGAAAGACTGGGAGGCCTGCCATGGGTCAAAACTCTCTCACTATCTTATTATTTCTTCCTACATATCCCTATCAAAACACACCTCTTTGTATGCATATCCAAATGTCCCAGCAGTTACTTTTCAAGCATTTTGAAACTTCCCTATCTTTCAGATGTTACATCTTAGCAACTTAAAAAACCCAGTAGCTGTACAGGGACACCCTGAGGGATTGCTGTTACCTCTGGTAGCTCCTGTAAGAAGGGACTCCGTACTACCCAGCACACAAGGAGTCACCTGGGCGCTAACTTGTTATATTGAGGTTGGAGGAAGGATGGAGTTGTGGAATCAGCTGGGCAATGGCTCCAGAAGGAAAGAATTCAACTCTCCTTTTAAATTTTTGCAGAAGCTGAGAAGTCCTCTGCAATACGGCCTAACCGTGCTTGTCTATTGCTCAGGCTTGGGTGGATTTGGGGGAGGTGGTTCATTCTTACATTTTTGTGCAAGAAAAGAAAACCGTAAGGAAGAGTCCCAGAATTAGCCTGCTGTTCCAGAGATGGTTCTTCTACAAGCCCTCTAATTCCTGCATTGTAGGCTTGCAGGAAGTGGGAACATCAAAAGCACAAATCTCAGAATGTAGTTACAAAATCAAAATGTTTGTCTAAAGGCAGCTTTCCTTAACTGCTAGAAAAAGAGCTCACGGTATTATACGCAGTACTGATAGCACTACTCTGAATTTTAAGAATGCTCAATACCTCTAATAATAGGAACTCAGTTTCAATTGCTAGCAATTTTACCAAACTTCACTTATTTGAACTATTCTCTCTAATAGTTCTGCCTCTGGCTGAAGCCTTTTAGAACATTTTATCAAAATTCATTCATTTCCAACAATGAGATTTTTCCTTTACACCCTTAGCAGAAGAGATTAATTAAGGAAAATCTTCACAATACTTCTGTACCTATGCCTTATGGACAAGAGGACCCAACAGGGAGCAGCTCAGTGACTGAATAGTAAATCAACTGGAGTGCCCATGTTCTCATGAAAGTACCTGCCTTGGTGCTTATGCTTTGTTATACTTCCTATGGGCTGTGGGATCTAGACTTCCACTGTGGCTTAGACCCTTCAAAATTAAAAATCTATTTGGGGGGGGGGGGGATGGGTACCTACGACAAGTACAACAGAACTAGCAGTTATAAACCTTGATTGCAGACTCCCTTCTACTGAAAGTAAGTTAACACAAAAAGATAAATTGTGGTTGAATCATTTTTTTCTAGTGTACTCCCATAAACAGACCCTGCCTCTGAAATTATCTGCAGGCTAGCAACCTTTTTAACAAGGAGAATGGTTACTGAATTTGCAATAAAGGTTTTATCAGGAAAATTAAGTGAAGATGCCATGAGGGTAAAGTCTGTGAGGATAAGCCTCCATCGTTAAGAGCCTTATTCAGTGTTCTGTGTGTAAAAGAAACAGAATCTATTGATTTCAGGGGACATCTGCCAAAGTGAACAGATCTCTGTAATGCTAACAGATTTAGATTTCCTCCTCTGAAATAAAAGCCTTTATCATATAAAGACCTTTCCTAAATAAACATAATTTCTCTGCAGAGGATGAGTTTTAACTTTGATGCATGTCCTCGTTGATGATGGATCTGTAAAGAACAGGAACAGCCAAAATTCTAAATCTGCTGGATATGCCACGCACGTGGTAATGCTGGAGGGACAGGGGAATCTCACTGCTGAGCTCCACAAAGAGCAGCATGGACGTACCCACAAACTTGGTACTGTGCTCCCGTATACGCACAAGCTGCATACCCACCACCTACATATTTATGGAGTACAGTTTCTTTTCCCCTGTCCAGTTAAAAAGATTTATCTCCTCTCCCAGAGAGGCTATTACGGACATCCCCAGTAAGGAAAAGAAGAAGTTAGCAGAGCTAGCGCCTCTTTGAGTGCAAGGTGTGGAATCTGTCTGACATTTCTGTAAATTCCTTTTGTTCTTCCCTAGATCTAGGCTGTAATGCATGAGAGCGCCAGTGTGAGGGAGGCATGCCAACAGCAGCTTCAAATATTTTGTACCATCTGTTACTGAAAATCGTAGTCTCTTTTTAGCCCCTCTGCTTACAAGTCAACTTCCCAAATAAGTCATATAAGCTATTATTTCTTGATATACACAAAAATTGTTTTTTCTATAAAGCTATAATAAAACATCACAGTATTAATATTAATTTTGCCTTCATACTTTATAAAATTTCATATACTGAGGTACATTTATTAAATGCACCTTTAAAAAGGCCAATTTCTTGATGTTGCCCTGGTACAGCATAATCCCCACTTTTACAGCTAAATAGATCACCCACGACGTTACTTTATCCTATCTGTCGATTACTTCTCAAAAAAGAAAACTCATTTAAAATAGAAGCACCTCATTTATTTAGAGTTCATCTTCTCCCATTTGAGAATGAGCAAATTCTCAGTTTCTGAGAATCTGAACACAGAAACAACTGAACAGAATTCTATCAAATGGATAACCCCTGCTTCCTCTTCATCTTAACACCACCAATTAGTAACAAACACCAATGTTTTGGGAACATCCTTACAATTTGTTTACTAAGCAGCTGACCTCTTCAGCTTGACAGCTCAAGGAGATGGAAGAGGTACAAAAGTGAGTGT